ATTTTTTTTTTTTTTTTTTTTTTTTTTGTGTGTGTGTTGCACTGTAAATTTTTTATCCACAAAAACAAATTTCTCAAGATGTTACCTAGATTTGATGTCTTTCTTGCTGAAATTTTGCTTATTGTTAAATCTCTTAAACTTGATAACAATAAGAATAACACGTTTCTTTAGGCTTATGATGATATTTTTCTTACTGATTGAGGTGTCATTGTTTTTTTTCTTCCTCCCTTTCCTTTCTTTATGTTACTGTATTTCAATGCAGTGTTGTTTTTGTTGTTCTTTTTTTGTCTTGCAATAAAAAAGGAAGAGTTTCAAATGTGAAAAGTGTTTCTGTTTAATCCATTTACATACATTTTTGACCAAATTTTAGATTAATAAACGCAGTTTGCTAATAGAAAACCCTGAAGTTGGGCCGTAGGCTTATTAGAGACTCTTAAGAATAAGAATAAGAAACCTATAAAGATGTTTTGTGAGCTCTATACCCTATTGTACCCTTATTCTTATTTTTATATTGCTGCAAAAATTATTTATTTATTTCACTTTTTTTTTTCTTTTTTGTATGCATAATTTTATAATTTTATATGTTTGCATTTTAACCAACGTGCATGTTTTATGTTAATATTCATATAAACAATAGTTAATTAAAAAAAAAATTAGAATTGTGCAGAAATATGTTTAGAGGTTGCATATGAAGCACTGCAACACAAATAAAGCTAAATAAATTTATTTATTTATCTGAGACTTGGATATTACATGTTTTCCTTAATATATGGAAGAGAATGGAACTCATTTATGAATATATGTATGCAAAAAAAACATATTTTAAGCATTGAGCATTTAATATATTTAAAACAGCCAAAAATAATACCATAACAACACTTTAGAAAAAATATAGTACACTGTAAAATTCAATAGTTTACCTTACTTAGATTTAATTAGTTATCTTTACTTAGTTGTCATACTTACTAGGTTTTATTAAGTTACAGCTACTTTCAAGGCAAATAAAACAATCTACTTACTGTTTTGAGTGACACTTACTTAAAATAGTCAAGTAGCCACAAAGGAACCAATGACAGTGAGAGGCAGCAGTGCATTAATATGTTGCTAATGTGCAACAGAAGAAGAAGAAAAAAATAGTCTTAATAGACTTTTCACTGGGGGGGGGGATCTTTCACATTGAGCAAAACTGTACAGTATTTTGGCATATCTTTTACATTATTACGTTAAAGCAAAAAGACATCACATAAGCTAACTTCATAAAGTGATGTTTATTTTCCTAAAATGTTTTTTTTTTTTTTTACGCACCATTATAGTGATTAGCGTTCCCTTTGGTTGGGCACTTGGAACTTCTTTTATGTTACTATAATTTTCTTCTTGTTCATGCAGCAATGCATCATGAAGTCAGAGTTATTTGATTTCAAGGGAAGAAAAGTAATAAATAGGATGCTTTTAGAAAGTGACCTATCTTCCAGTTAAAACATTACTGTATTTTTTTTGTGTGTGTGTGTGTTTATTAGTTAACTTTTTCAAATTTCATAAAGACCTTGAAATGCTTTTAATTGGGTTTATATATTCCTTAAATAGTGTGTGGTAACATGCTAAAGTCACACACAGACTTAAGCGTTCAGCACGTGAATCACAACAGTGGTAACAATTCAATTTAATTTATTTTCATTAATTGTAACAATAACCATTTTATTTGCTCTTTTTGTTCTGCTACTACTGACACAAGACAGCAAATAAAATTGGCAAATAAAATCAACAACTGTAAAACAAAGCAACTGCATAATTTATTCATGCCGCAATGCACTCTGGGAGTCAGTGAGTAGCTATACTAAGTCATGAGTAAACCTAAATGAAAGGATCAAGTACCCCCTACAGTTCTTTTTTAGTTACTAGAACTCTTGTGTAAGTAAACTATACTAACTAAGCATTTGTCAGTACAACATACTATTCCTATTTCACTTTACTTAGTTTTTTCAAGGCAATCGGTTTGCATGCTTTTTTTAAGTAAGCCCAACTAATTCGATTTTACAGTGTAAGTAATATATATAGGAAATACCAAACAATAAGCATTTCAGTTTTAATATAAATGTTATTTTATGAATACAAAAGAAAAAATATATATTGGGCCAACGTTGAGAATTAATATTTAAAACAGACAAAAATAAAGATATGAACATTATGTGAAATACCATAAATGACTAGTTAAGATTTTTTTGGCATAAAATGCTTTAAGTTCAGAAACATAGATATTATTTATTACATATTATATTCATATTTATTACATATGTGTTACATATTTATTACATATGCATATTGATATATGGAAGTGAACTTAACACTTGTTCAATTTGTTTATATTTATTTATATCACATACACACACACACACACACGTATATGTATATATATATATATATATATATATATACTTATGAAAGGATATATATATACACAACACAAAACAGAACAATATTTATGAAAAAATCATTAATATTTAGGAAATACAAAAATATTTTTAGATTTATTTCATTAACTTAATAAAATAAAATACTTCTATAATAAAAAAATGAGAAGTATATCAAATATATTTATATGTATTTATTTTTATTTAATTTCTATACGGTATAAAGTCTGCTTACCGTGCAGGAGTGCATGCAGTGATGGATGTGACACACACAGCGCCCCCTGCAGCTCACAGTGTTCAGCAGCAGCAGCAGCAGCATCACTCACTCTTTCTCTCTCATTCTATCAGTGTTCTCCTCCTGCATCTCTCATTAATGAAACACCTCATCACTCTGGAGTTCTCATTCCTCTCACAGCTTCTTTTGTGAGCTGCTGTTCTCAGGATGTTCTGTTCCAGCACTTCACAAACCCCTGACATCCACACGTGTAGAGGACGTTTGTGCAAAGTGCCTGAATCAGAACAAAAAACCCCAAATGAAGATTAAAACTGAATGAGAGCGTGGAAGAAAAGCCCTTTAATTCAGCTTCTGCTTTCACACCAGCACTAAAGCATCAAAACATCACTGCTATATTAACCTTCTGCACAAATATCCCTAGTGCAATAATCATATACTGATAGATTTAGGATACATTATTTAGAGATAAAAATTGTTTTTTTATCTTTATGAGATAAAAAAAAAATACATTACATATAAAAAAAATATGATGAAGTGTTTATTTATTAACTATTAAGAAAGTTAGAGTGAACAGTTGTTCCTTCTTTGATTTCTTCAATCAAATAAAACTAAAAATAAGAGTATAAAGAGTACTAAAAAATAAACTTCCTAAATTTTAAAGTTCAAAAGTTTATTTTCTTATTTTACTTCTTATTTTATTTCTTATTTATACTAAAATTTTGGTCACATGCAATTTTGATGTGCATATTAAAAATGAAATGCTACCCAAATTTTACTGTCATCCAAATATTCATTACAAAAATAGGTTATATTAAAAATATATAATATAATATAATATAATATAATATAATATAATATAATATAATATAATATAATATAATATAATATAATATAATATAATATAATATAATATAATATAATATAATATAATATAATATAATATAATATAATATAATATAATATAATATAATATAATATAATATAAAAAGCTTGAAAATTTGGGTCAGCTTAATAGCATCACTTAACAGTGTTATGTAATATTTTTAATTGCCTTTTCTTTTTATATTTTCAGTTTTCATTTTACTTTTAGTTTAAGTTGTAGTAATTTTGTTATGTGTTTTTGTATTTGTTTTCAATTTTCTATTTATCTTAATTAATTTTAATTTCAGTTTTAGTTTTTGCAATTTTAGTACTTCAACAAAAATTTGAAATGTTGCCTGGAATGAATAATAATATAATATAATATAATATAATATAATATAATATAACATAATATATTTGGGTTGTTATTGCAAAATGTCCATTTATTTATTAACATCAAGATTTTAAGTGCTGTAACTGGTTTCTATTTATGCTATGTTTTACAACCAGTTTTCATCTTAATCGTAATTTAACTATTTGTTTTCACTAGATCGTTTTAATATTTTAATTTTTAAAAGTGCAAATATTCAGTTAATTTGAGCTCCAGAACAAACACGTGCTGAATGAGCTGAATGAAGAGAGAGAGAAAGAGAGAGAGAGAGAGAGAGAGAGA